TACTCTTATAGTAGTAATTACCATTTGCTTCAACAATAACGTTCTGTAAAGAAACCGATATGGAATGTCTGAACCAGGGACGGTACGAGTCAGTCCATAAGATGTCATCTTAGTCGTATCAGATTTCTCTCCTTTGGAAGAAAATACAATTTTCACCAGGGACAGAGAGCATTACGATTATATTGCAATTCATTGTTCTTTTTAATTTCCCAGAAAAGAAAAATTTAAATGGGTTGACATTGCTGCATTGATTGACCCGTTTCGAGTTTATCATTGCTTTGTAGACTATACCAAATATGGGGCATGTCTAAAGCGGAGCAGATCCCTGCAATTCCATTGATCAAATTTGTATGGCAGCCAATAAAACTGCAAATACAGGATCACGTTCTGCGATGCGCATACTGTGAGATCATATAACTGTATGATTATACATGGTCCATAGTTGTTAATAATATTCTCGATTAATATCAGTTGAGGCAGTCAGATAATCTGAACAAATAGAACCTTTAATATTATGTGAAGTCCCAACTCTTTCATTTAACGTTGTCAAGATTGATATACTAAAATAAAGTGCCTAATAAATTGCTTTAATCATGTCTCATAAATTACTGGGAATTACTCGAACAATATGTCACCAAAGCTATGCTGACCAAAGACTCGATTGCGTTCAGATGCAAGTGCAAACGTTCAGAGCATAGTGCATAAAAACTCGTGTGTGTCTTAGAAGATCAGCTTTATACAAATGTGCAGGTAACGTTAACGTATAACTGCTGGTTGCATGACATAACAATTACAATGATAAAAGAGAATTAGTGCTTCATATCACTTGTTTGGGGTTATTATATTATTGATGTTGTTCGTTTCAGAGAAACTCGCATGGGGTTGACCCATTCTCAGAATGGTCAACAAAATCGGGAGCAATTATTTTCGGATAAATTAGCACGGTTGCTCGTAAACCGATGAAAAACCGTAAACGGGGTAAGTGTTCGTACTAGCGTATAGACGTACTAGGTTTAAGTTGGACTTTTGATTTTTTTTTTTACATTGATTAAAATCTCACAAACGCCAATTTCCGTATGAAAAGTTGCTAACACGGTATATTGGTAGATATTAATATTATTAACCCTGCACCCTATGCTTAACTTTAGGCCTCGTTATATGAATTCATCGCATCGTTATACCGATTGCGTGTGCCAATATTTCGCTATAACGAGGTTTAAATTTAACACAAAATCAACTTTATTTGTAAAGATATCGTCAAGTGTTTAGAATGCATGTGATTAAAAGATTTTCAAAGCAGACTTTGTTATTCAACATCATTAATATATTTATGTATAAACTGTACTAGAATATGTTAGCTTCAAAAAAGTATCAGCGAAACTGTCGTAAATGTGTGGTAAATTATCGAAGCACAGACTGTATTTATCAATTGACGAACACATACTTTATCGGCAGCACAAAAAATCTTTGTCGTGAGCGCAAGACTATACGCTTCACAGTTAATACTTTAGAGTACTCCGCGTTGTCCATGCACAGTGCATAGAACACACCGCATATCTTTACTTAATTATATTCCGCTGCGAACAATAGACACTTACCATACAAGCCGACAAAAAGAGATAATAATATCGAATCTCATTGATCAAGTAACGTATATATCTGTGGTAAACTTAAATCTATAACGTGTATGGACAAGATACACAACGGGTTAAACAAACGTAAATGTTGCTGCAAATAACAACTATTACTTGCGAAAGTTAAGTTGCAATCGATAAAGGAAACATTTTATCTGTCATTAAATCAGAAGATCAGTGTTTGAAAGCTAAGTAAAGATTTTGAATTGATAAATAGATCTATTTATGCGTTGCTAATAATAATAACTACTCGTCAAATCTCGGCCCCAACGTGATTCACTCAATGTTTGGTTTAGACACCACAATTACGGTGTACCCTAGGTACAAAAGTGACAAGAGCTTAGACCGAGAACTAGAGAACTAGAGAACTTGGGAATTTTAGGACCTGAGAACCTGAGACCCGAGAACTTGAGAATTTTAGAACCTGAGAACCTGAGATCTGAATAGTATTTGTTGTGTTGATCACGTTTGTATATGGAAACCTCAGAATCGCATTATTTCACTATCTCAGACCTTAGACTTTAGATCACCTGATTTACAGATTAAGTCAACCGTTTGGTTACTGGTTGCGGTTATGCATTGCATATGTCAACCTGAGCAGAAAACCGACCTGTCAATTAACAAGTTTCTCTGGCATAGAACTTACTCTAATTTATTTAGGAAAATGTTGTTTTCTCCAATATTAACAAAACGTTTGTTAACCATGTTAATATACAATATCGCGACGCTCACTAAATGTTATTCTCACTTCAATGTATCGATATAATCGTCTAGATAATTTTTACTATTAATAGATTGGGACCAAAAATTCTTCGATATAAAGAGGGAATCGAATTACTGAGATTCGGATTAACAAGATTTGGATTAACGAAGTTGACTGTATACAAATACAATTATTTCCTCTTCCTATGTATTAATAAGAATTCTTCACAAGCGTAGTAATCCCCAAGTATTTACGGACCGGGACGAGCATTTGGACATCAACTCTATGAACATCGTTTATCCGTTTTTCGTGATATACTGTTTTATGATGCAGACACAATCCGACTTGCAGCGCCCCATGCGTAATTTGGACCATATGTGTTCACAGTCCTGATATAAGATTTTTGTCTTCGTGCTTGCATATAGGTAGGATTAAAGTAAAGATGATGATGATGAGAAAGGGCAACCCGCAATCGGTTTTGATAATTAATTTCTGTGTGACACTATTCATTGTGGGAAGAAATAAACAAATAAGATAATTGGAAGAAAGCTTTTTATAGAAAGAATAAATAAAAGTCTACTACTAAATAATTATTCGTTAGAGTGTTTGTCTTCAAATCGTTCCGACGAGTCTGTCTAACAATTACTATCCCGGCTACATATATTTGCATTATCAGCACAATACAAGAATTTTTTTTAACCCAATCAAAGCGTACATAAAAAACTTGTTTTGTAGTATCTTAAATAAGTGTCTGTATAACTTCTGCCATTCTGAATAGGGCCAGATAAAGTTCCGATCTATATTGGTCAAACCAATAGAAAAGTGTTGCGCAATAGTTAATAAAAAAAAAGCAATATTAATATCTGCACAATTTCTGCTCATTCCGAATTGAGTAAAGCGTGCGAACGCATGTCGCTGCTTTGTCATCTTTATTTAGGAAGAATTGCATTGTCACGTTTAAGATTGTGTGTTACTAAAATAGAATTGAGCAGCGGTAGTGCTATTAAAATCCGCTTGAAATAGATGGCCCAGCCAGTGAAAAGGATGTATTTAAATGTTGCGGACCGTAGTATGTTCTCCAATGCAATATGGTTTTCATTAACTTCTCAGAACCTATTTGCAATAAATGTAATGGTATAACGTACGCAATCCATTATGTGTGTGGGCGACGCATTTACTGCGTTTTGTGAAGAATTTTTTTAACATAGTAATAGGGATATTGTCGTATTGAGATTAATAATTAGTATACAGTCAACTTTCTTAATCCATTTCGCCAATCCGAATATCATTAATACGAATCTCTTACCGAAGAAATTTTGGTCCCCAATTTATTAATAGTTTCCATAAGATTATCCGTGATCGACTAACTCGTAATCAAACGCTTGACTTTAAACTGTAAATTAAGTTACAAAACAGACAAAGTGATCTATCTGAGATACTGAGGTACGAGGTACTATCTTCCATACATAATGCGATCAATCTAACAAATACTATATATGGTCATGAAATTGTCGAGTTCTCAGGTTCTAAATTTTCAGATTCTCAGGTTCTAAAATTTTCAGGTTTTCAGGTTCTCAGATTCTAAAATTCCCAAGTTCTACAACCTACGCATTTGTTAATATAATTTAATTATGGGATACTTTGCCATTTCTCTCAATACTAAGTGACATCTGTTTCTCATAAATTAATTACAATATTTTTCTGAACTTTATTTATTTATTTATTTATTTATGTTGTTGTATGCCGCGTTTTTTGTATCTTTTTATATCGTATGTTTTTTCTCCATGGTGCACTATGAAATTTTTGTCAAAAAAATGTGTGTAAATAGATTCTCTCATATGCCTACATCACACAAGTCAAAATTGTCACTAAGAGTTTTGAGGTACAGTGTTTTCCCACCATTTAGTCGGCTTTGTGCAGTTAATTTCCGTTTTCAAATCAAAAAAGGTTTAGTGAAATGGATTTAAAAGCATCCTCTGGTGTAAATTAATAACCAAAAGCATATCACAAAAGGGGTATTCTGAGGTTTTCCAGAGTCAGTGTAAAAAGGCGAGATGTTGCATAGAGTTTAACGAAAATTATTTGAAGAAATGAAACAGTTAATTAATATGTATGTAAATGAAACTCTATACTAGTGTCAAAACTCTTTGTACACCCTACGTATAGCCCAGAGTCATGGTCGTACAACAGACGCGCGATTATTATATAGCGCGCAAAATTCCATAGTTAAAGGTGTTCTGTTAGTTGTAAATTTAATTAACGTTAAATATTATATTATATAAATAAACGATATGCTCGATGACGGGATAGATATATAATTCATGGTCTACTCATAAATCATCAAAAGAGTTCCCAATCGACTAATCAAAATAATATCGTACTTCTTAATTATACTAAAAAAACTATTATTCTAGTACAATTTCTTTTTTGAGTAGCATTATTACGATAAGGTGTTATCTTAATGTGAAGGGACTAATGCGTAACCGCCTTCGACATCAGCTAACGTCTGAAACGTCGCGTTAATGCTAAGCCGAAATTATTCACTTGCGCACAAATTTTAATTATTAATTGTAAAATATAATAATAGGCATAATTTATCCAAAGGCCAAATATCAGAATTAACTATTACTATATCATCCATGATTATTCAGTTCGATGATTAATCAAGCAAACCGCTTAGTAACCCATTTCCTGGCTAGGCTGATCTCCTTCTCAATAGCAGCAGAATCATACCCACTCAACTCATATAATGCTGTCTGCGCCTTTTCATAACACAATTCCCATTCTTCTTTAAAGTTTTTCATTACAATCTCAAGATAAGCCAAAGCAATGCAAGTGAACCAGACGGAATTTTGATTTTTGTTTTGGAATAAATTTCTGTGTTTGCCCTGCGAAAAAAATTTCGATAAGTCTGCGGTTGGCTTGAAAAATCCGTCAAAAGATTGAAATCTGATAAACCCATAAAGAGTATCGATTACTGCTAATTTTGGATCAAGTTCAATAATAGGTGACTTTGCTGGCCTGGCACGCATTGTATGCACTTTTTTAGTAATCTTTCTATCCCCCCCAGCACATCTTCTTGATGTCACGTAATCGCTAGGCGGCCGAGATGCTTCCTTTCCAAATTTTTTAATCGGATTAGTAGAGAAAGTCATTAATGCAGGGCTAACTGTCCGGGATGTCCAATCAGCATTCACAGTTGTAGAGCTAAATGTCGAGGGAGTCACAGAATTTGCTAGTAACGTAGGACTAACTGTTAAAGTTGCCGCAGGAGGGGTTGTATAACCATAACCAACACGAGTAGACCTAGAACGTTGAGAGTTACTTGGGTATATAGAAACGCTACCTGGAGTCTGCAAAAGAAAAGCATTAGCAAATGTCTACTGAAAAAGTTTTTTTGCCCTCTTTCTTTACTAACCCTGACTACATGGCGTCTCCTTGCCTGCACAGGAACGACGCGCTTTTGAACTTCAGCTGTCAAGGAAGTTTGGTCTCTTTCATCGATTGCCAGAAAACTTTGATAGATAATTGAAGAAACCAATTACATATAATAGATCGGACAATCTTCCTTAAACAAGTTCTTTACACAATTTACCTCGTATATCTTGAGACTAAATTAGCATCAATTGCAAGCTTGACAACTGCATTTCTTGTATCTTTAGCTGATAATGTTTTCCCCTGATTTTTCAGATCATTATGCAAATAACTTCTCTTATCTTCAAGATCCTGTATTAATTTCTGGCAGCTAGAGTATGAATCTTGTTTCCATCGAGAATAGCTGGATCAACCGGCACAGTGAGTTTTACGGGCCCACTGCGAGATTGCATTATCATTGTGATGCTCCGTGCAGGTTCAACGTCCGGTTCAAAGAGCGCATACACGACACAGCGAACGCCTTGATATAGTGGTGGAATGACATATGGCGCTTGACGGTACTTTATATCGCCTGAATCACTACTCTCAATGTCAACCCAGGAAATTTTATAATCAGTCAGTGGCGGCCGAATAGCGTTCTTGACCATTCCAGCAACTTTTTTGTCCATCCTCTCATCGTCGCTGACGAACTGGGCATATCCTCTTCCGGCTCGAGCAACAGACTCCACTAAATGATGACTGACAGAGCTTCCAATGCCCAACGAAAACAGTCTCAAATTGTCTTTATTTTCCTTCACTTTATTCTCGATCAATTGAACAATGTCATCTACGTTCCAAACCTCGCCGTCGGTCAATAAGAACACGGCAGTCGGAAGTTCTTTGACATTATTTTCCAAAACCCATTTTAAAACCGATAAGAGTTCAGTACCACCAAAGTTGGCTTCCATTGACTGAGCATGTTGAACGGCAGCGTTGTGGGAACATTCTGAATAGTAAATAGACTGCTGAAACAAGGCAGAGTAAGATGAGCCAAATGAAACCACATTGAAAAAACAGTTTGACGGTAGAGAGCGAAGTATTAGCTCGAGCGTTTGTCGAGCTTTAATCATCGGTGCGCCACGCATTGAACCGGATCTGAACAAATAAAATTCCATGATTATATACGTGAGCACGCAACAGAACATGAACAAGCGCCCAAACTATTTACCTGTCCACAACAAAAATCATTTCTGTCTGCACTGGTTTAAGTTCAAACGTAGGGACAAGAGTCAACATGGTACAATATGTCTTTGTCTTTGGATCGTATTCCGTGAACGCCCTATAAGATATACCATGTATATCAATTCGACAAATATTTGTCGTATTTTCCGCAAACTGCCAGGGTTTTATGACCAATACCCTGACCATTTATCACCAAAACTTGGCCATACCTAGATTGATCCGAATCCTCACTCTTGATAATTAGCACAAAATCTCTTTCCAATTCGGTTATATTTTCTGCAAGTCTGACTCTGCAAGTCTTTGGAGAGCCATTCAGATTAACATCAGTTTTAATCTTGTGCGTGGGTGACTCAACGCTCAACAAGCTCGCTGTCATACGACATATAATGTCAACATCCAATGTATACTGGGTTTCGTTCGAATATGGCGGGTTACCCTCAATCAGTTCCGTTGTTGCCTGAAACCGGTCCTTCTGTGGTTGGCCATAGCGAGGTGCAACAGCTGTAGGCAGGACGAAGCGAACTTGGTCGGAATCAGCATCCTGTTTAAGTTCAGTTACGTAAGTTATGCGAACCTTCACGATCTGGTTTTGCGTAATGTTTCCAATTGAGCATTGAAAAACGTCTGGAAATTCTTCTTGAAGGAGGTACGCGCCAAGATCACTCTAATATTTTAAGTAATCAGAAAGGTTGAGGAAAAGTCTTATCATATTGAACCAATTTTTACATTGCAAACAACTTAAGATGATTACAAGTTGTCCGTTGATACAAACCTGAATAACTTCATCATACTCTTTAGCAGCCTGCTGAGCTTCTTTGACAATACCCTTTACTGTGCGATTACCATCAATTTCAGCCTCAAAGCCACAGATTGCTGCAGCTTCATGAATCGGGAATTTGTAGATTGCTTCAATTGCCACCGATTTTTCATTCTTGTAGATTTGAGTGACGATGACTTTGGGAATGGATTGCAAAGCATTGAGTACATTGTGTGTTCTTATCTAATATTAATTGATTGGAATACTCAATAGAATTATTACCTTCAGCAATCATGTCAACGACTACGGAAATTAATCATTATGTTAGTGACTTAGAAAGTTGTTTACTCTTATAGTAGTAATTACCGTCTGCTTCAACAATAACGTTCTGTAAAGGGACGGGATATGGAATGTCTGAACCAGGGACGGTACGAGTCAGTCCATAAAATGTCATCTCGGTTGTATAAGATTTCTCTCCTTTGGAAAGAAAATACAATTTTCACCGGGACAGAGAGCATTATATTGCAATTCGTTGTTCTACTTTAATTTCCCAGAAAGAAGAATTTAAATGGGTTGACCCGTTTCGATTTTTATTATTGTTTTGTCGAGTCCCCGATCAAATTTGGAAATTAGTTCCATATGTCTGATATCGATATAGGTAGGGCATCGACTAAATTGGAAATTGTTTATTTTCACATGAACCTAACCCCGACATCTCATGATTGAGTGGTATGTGAATGTTATGTTTCCCAGAAAAGAGGCCAAATAAATTAATCAGGTGTCGTATAAATCATAAATCTGGCAACATAAATCAGGCCATAAAATAAATATAAGAGAGCGCCTTCGAAAATCAATTGTTTCTGTACACATGGGAAGAGAAGCTATTCGAGTTAGCTAAAATTTTTAGAATAAAGAAAATTTACGACAGAAAGTGATATAAGATACAGTATACAGTTCGACATTTGCCAAACTTTGTTAACAGAATTTAATTTGGTTTCTTCGGCAGTAAAACCTTTTGCTTCTCACTTTTTTTGTAATTCTGGGGTAAAATTTGGGCACCAAATTTATATTCTTTGGGTGAGTTCGATAAACTTCTAATTCATCCTCAATAAAAAGTTCCTCGCGATAGTTAACAAAATTTATTAACCAATAAAATTTTATGCTTTAAATAACATTGCACACATACACTCACTGGACAAAAGTCTACGTAATTTTTGCCGATCAATTAGTAAAACATATGAAAAAGCTATTTTTTCAA